ATTCATTGAACAATTTTCGATTTTTCAAGATTATATCATAAAAAAATGTAATTTTCTTCTTATATGTTTTTCATCTTGATTATATCGGGTTTAAAAATATATACAAATGATTATAAGAAACTAAAAGAAAGCATTGCATCATATCACAAGAACTGCATGCGTAAATACAACTGAGGAACGTAACAAAAATAAGGGAAACAGTCTATGCCAACAGAAACTTTCACTGATAAAATTGAGATACTAATTAGAAAAAGGAAGTTGAAGTATCATAAAGATCTACATAAATAATGATCTGACAGCAAAAGAAAAAGTAATACACAAAGAAATAGTTAAAATAGTAAAGGAAGAAAAAAGTAAAGGAAAACATACAAAAATAGGCTAAAAGAAGTTGTTCGTGAATGGGAAAGAATAGATATAGGATGAAGGAAAACAACAACAAAAAAATACCAAAGAAAAATTGCCAAAAAACTAGTAGAAAAAAAAACAACCGAGGAGATATACCGAAACGACAAGGCAAAGGAATACGACCATTGAAAACGGAAAAATAAACACAAAAGGAAAACAATCCAAGGATATAATAAATTGGGGGGGAGCTTTAAGAAACTTAGATCAAATTATGGAGAAATATACAATAGATATCCTTACTCTGCACGAAACAAAACAACTCGGAAATGAAATAATAAAAATAGGAAAGAGCACACTGATCAAGAGTGGGGGGACCAAGAGATATTTTGGAGTGGGATTCATGGCGTCGAAGAAAGTAAACAAAGCATTGTAAATTTTCAACCAATATCAGACAGAATATGTTACTTAAGAGTAAGAGGAAAGTATAGAAAGATAAGTATCATTAAAGTACATGCGCCCACTGAAGATAAAGACTTAGAAACCAAAACAGAGTTCTAAGATAACCATTGGTGACATGAATGCGAAAGTCGGAAAAGAGGAAATATATAGAAGCATAACAGAGGGACGAAGTTAGATAGATAGAATTTATTCATCCACAAAGTTTACACAATTCTTACAAAAAAAATGTATAAATCTTATAGGACTAGTCAAAATTTTAGTACAAAAGAGTACAATATATAGCAAAAGTACACATGATTTAAATAAAACAGTGATTACAATAAAACAAATAAGAAATAAAAGTTACAAATACAAATTTAGAACTATTGTTGCAAAAATGTTAAAAATTTAAAAATCCATCAACACTGTAGAATGTGTTTTGTTGATTAAAAATGAATACACAGTTTGGCGAAAACCTTTATGTGAAGAATTACTGAGAGTTAATCTATTGACTATTTTATTGTAACATTTTATTCCAATATATTCACGTGCATGTTGGGATACACCTAATCTAGAGAAAGGTTGTCGAAAATTTGATTTATCCCTAGTATCGTGTGAATGAATGACCTCATTTCTGTCAAACTTCAGCTTGTTTTCCTCAATGTGCAATATTAATTGGAAAATTAAAAGGCTAGGTAGTGTTAAAATATTAGACTTCTTAAATAGTAGCTTGCAAATACCTGAAAATGGAACAATATACATACTTACATAATTACTATTTAACTGGGAATAGGCCACAATTAAAGATAAAAATATGTTTATTAATTTTGTTTAATTTACTGTTTGTATTTTGAGAACGATTTCTGAAGTGGAAATTGAAACGTCAATAAACATATTTTTATCTTTAATCATAGCTTATTCCCAGTTAAACAGTAATTAATTTAAAATGCCACAAGAAAATAGCTTCAGAACAATACCATGCATACTTCTTAAAACTTTCTTTTGAGCTATAAATGCCCGTTCAAAATGAGATGAGCAACCCCAAAATATTAGGCCATACTGAAGTACAGACTGGACTAAACTAAAGTAAATCATTCACAATATATCAAATGATACAGTTTCTCTTAAATTACACATTATATAGCTACATGTACTTAACTTTGCTGATACATGATTTACGTGAGTTTCCCATGTAAGTTTATGATCTAGGGTTACCCCCAAAAATTTCGTTGTAGTATAACTTTCTACTGATTTGCCATCCACATGTAAATAAAAGTCAGAATTTGGAGTTAAGTTTTTTGGTAAAAAACGCATAAAATGTGTTTTTGTTACGTTGAGCTTGAGTCCATTATTTTTACAATATGTGCAAAATTCAGCAGATACAACATTGGTATTTTCCACCAGTTGTATGGGTTCACTCAGCATACTGAACAATTTTATGGCTCTATGTCTGGTTTATGGCTCTATCAATTATTGGTAATATTTTTTGTAAATGTATTTCGGAGGAACACTATAATAATTGTTATTTCCCAAAAGTAGTTGCAAAATTCACCTTGATCTGGAATTAATAAACACTTTTTGCATGATAGTCCCTTTATAAAAGCAACAACAGCTATTATTCACCTTGAATGACTCATTTAAATAGCATGAATATTTTTTTGCATATTTTGTCACTTTCATGGTCTACATATCATAACAACTTAGTTTCAGTTACAAATCAGTCAGCTATTTACACAAAAACAATTTTGTACATAATCTAATGTAAAGCTATTTTCTTGTGGCATTTTAATAATATTCATTACCTTTATTTTCATTTAAGTTTCCAGTACTGAAATGGTTATCAAAATTCAAATTAAACAGTATTTTTAATTGAAGTTGTGATTAAAAAGTATTAGTCTTCCCATTTCTGATATGCTTCAGCCAACTTCCTTATCATGAATTCAATATCATCCTTATCATTAGCTATGACAGCCTAATCATCTGCACATTGCACTATATATAGATGCAGTAATATTCAATTCTATTCTATATCAATACCAAGGTACTTTCTTTTCCAAGTAGGTATGTAATGCTTTTGCTATTTATATTTTAAATAGTGATTAAGAAATGCAGCAAGCAAGAAAGGGCAATCACAGCAAATCCAGATGATAAGTGTTGCCGATTTTATTTTGAGATGTTGACCCATTGGTCTCGAAGTACTGCCCAAAGTTTTGTTATTGGTACAGAAGCACTTCTTGATTATTTGCTGTTTTTTCTGTAATCTGCTTTAAGCAAAGCACATTATAAGTACTGTCAGTCCTGAATCCACTTTGTTTTTTCTCCTGATAATTACAATATTCTTCTTGTACATTCTTAATATCCTTCCATATAAACCAAACTAGATGCAGCAATAATTATGGAACTGCATCTTTCTCAGAACCTTTTATGTGTATTGGGGAGATGTATGCCATTTTCCATTGTTTAGGAACAGGTTATCCATCCATTTATACACATTTTAATAATGTTCCTGTTCAAATGAAATAGTTTTTTTCAAATGTGACATTGAAGCATCTATTGCTTCAGGACCACTTATTTACTCTAAGTTAATTTTATCTGGGTACCATCACATACTGGAATCGAAGGTGACAAGGTTGTAGACAAAATAGCAAAAAAGGGAGAAATTGACACCTTTAAAGCTGATTAATAAAGTGAACAGAATCTAAAGAAACACTAAATAAATGTATAAAAAATCAAACTTAGAGCTATGAAGAAAATAAGATTAAATGAATACCAAAATAATTTGTTAAAACAAGAATGAATTAATGTTTTTTTTATATAAATAAGATCACTCAAAACATAGACATATCCAAAACATCATGACAAAGTAAACAAAACAACAGAAACATCAAATAAAAAATTTAAAAAATGTATGAGAATAGAGAAACCAGAGAGAACTATAAGCAAAAGGCACTAAAAAAGAATATGAAATGAAGCAAATAAGATAAAATGACAATTATAAACAATCCAACAAAGCCTTCTGATTGGATGGAACTATGAAAGAAAGATAAAAGAAAGATAAACAATCCAAATTGATTAAAATAAGGATGAATTAAATTTTGTTTAGTAAACAAAGTCTCTCAATAATTGATAGGTATCTTCAAAAGTAAAATAAATAGAAACTACAGATATTTTAGACTGAATATAATATCACATTAAAAAAATTAAAGAAAATTAACCTAAAGAAAAAAAAGAGCTCTGAAGAAATGTAAACTAAAACAAAAATAATGTGATGAAGACTATAAACAATATCCCTAAACATAGATTTATGTAAAAAGTGACCCATTACAAAAATGTATTGTATTTCATATTAAAAGCACTTTCAAAAAAATATATTATTCAATAATATAGTTCTAAAATATATAATATTGAGTGTACCAAAAAATAATAAAAAAACAAATGGTTTCAATGCAACTATATTTTTATAGACTACCAATAAAAATTTTAATCACCTTTCAAATTTAATTCATGCTTGCTAGGTATATTATTTCATCATGGGTTTAATTATCACATGCGTCATAAAAGACGTCAGGAAAATTGCAGTTTTGATCACAAATTTTCACATTTTAAAATAAACTAAATCATTGTTTAATAAATACAATGAAAAAATCTATAAATAATTCCCGCCAGAATGTAACGCTCAGTGATATGCGTCTATGTATATTCGTTGGTGATATATTCTTTGATACTAACCACATGTATTATTGACTATTGTTTGAAATTTTTATTACTCTTTCTCAATATTCAAATAAGTTTCATTTTTATTGACTTGCAGGCCTATTTATGTTAATTTTATCTACTCAATTAGTTGCTTTTATAAAGATTTATCTTGGTACTAACTACGAATTCCAACAACTAAGTCATAATGTAATAATTATTTATAACTGCGTAAACAAGTAAATTTAGGCATATTTATTTGCAGATTTGCACTATATTGCTCGGGGTAGGGGTTGAAGGGTCAAATATGCGGGGTGTGTCAATTTAAACCTAATTTAAAACAAACGAAATTAAATGAAATGATATATCCTTTTTAGCATGGTTTATACCGATAAGCGTAAAATGTGGTATAGGAAATAAGCTTATTCGCCAAATAGGTATATTCAGTTAATATTTATCGATTAGTTCCAGTTCCTTGAAGAAAATTGGAAAAATGTGAGTGGAAAAAGTGAAAGTGTACTTACATTGTGTATAGTTTTATTCACAAACTGTTCAATTAATTTTAGAAGCCCGAATTGTTTTATTGTAACACGTGTTTTAAATATAACCAACAAGACAACCTAACCCGCTCCTCACTACCTTAGCACTATTTTCACACTGATGCCATTTTCTTCAACAGGAGAGCGTGTGTGTACCGCGAAATCCATCAACCTCCGACCGGGGTTAAGTTAGCCACGACTGAGAAAATTCCGTTAATCGGTTAGGTCTGCACTCCATGAGCGCGTATTATTTTTATTCTAAAAATATTTGTTTTTTAAAATATATAATACAGTTTTATTTTTATAAATATTATAGCAATATCTCATTTCTTGAATGATACGTTATTCAAAAACGTTCTTTAAAATAGAATATGTGAAAAAAATGGAAAATCGAAATAACAAACAAAATAAGCAAACAAGTGCCAGTAGGAAACAGGAAACATCAGCAGGAAGAACCAAATTGAGATAGATGGATAGAAATGATATAACAATTTTAAAAATAAAAACTGAAGAGAAAAGCACGAAATAGATCAGAATGGAGAAGAATCCTGGAACAGGACAAAGCCCAAAAAGGCTTGTCCTGCCATTGGTAATGATATTATTCATTTAGAACTACTACATTTTTCCTGCGAATAAAATATAGTTATAGTTACAATAATTATTTTATTGAATTTCCACTCAGGAAGTCGTTCTCAAAATACAAATAACCTAATAAATAAAAAAGCATTTCTATTAGGATAATGACGAAACTATAGAAGTCGAAACGTCAATAAATTATGTAATTTTAATTATTGTGGTTTATTCCCAGAAAAAATATAGTTAATCGATGTAGAAGATGTCACAAGAAAATAGTTTCCAGATTTCAGAATAGAAGTTCTTAATTATAGGTCATTGTATATTGACTACTTTCATATATGCAACACAGATCAACCCAAATACTAATTTGGGTTGCCTATAATAAAAATAATCAAATCTGGAATATTTTTTTTACCAATTTAATTTTTTGTCGTCTATAAATAATTGATAACGAACAAAGGCATTTTAATATGCATTTTTAAAATTTTGTAATGTAATTATTTTTACTTAAGAAGCACATTTTCATGTGCTTTTAAATTCTGGTGTTTAGTAACTCCTTGATCAACCACCCCACTTAAGGATAATATCATTGTTTACATTAAACAATGATAATATGCATTTTTCATAAATCATCGGTTTCCGAAAAAACGGATATTTCTTATTTTATGACTACTTTCAACCACAGAACACTAATCACAACCTGTCTGAACCACAGTAGCACAGAATAATAAACTGTGAGAGTAGATAGACGTGTTACATTTCTATAATAGCAAAAATGTATTTAAAATATGTTGGTTAAAATAATGACTAATTTAATTTGTATTTTTATAAACAAGACTTCAGTATTGCTATTAAATATTTGGAATATTCAAAGCACACTTTTTGATTGATAAGCAGTTCTACTAGTTAGGCAACCGAATAAGCAGAAGAAGTAAAAACACCATATTTTTTTATACATACAGTATTCTAGCCTTTTATTTAGTTTTTATATTATTGAAACGAACTTATTAAGAAATACAGCACTTAAATTATACAAATTGCAATCAGACCAGTAGTTACATATGCAGATGTGATAATGTGCCTCACAGGTAAAGTATATTCAAAAGAAAAATCCTCAGAAGAAATATGGCCCGTATCAGAATGAAAAACGGAGAAATGATAAGAATAATATATATTTATTAAAGATACTGAAACACTGAGATAGCTGAGACATATAGAGATAAGGAAAAAACGATCTACTTATTAAGGTCATCAGATGGAGGCCAAAAACTGAAAGACCTAAACAGAAGTGAGAGGACCAGGTTATGAGAGATATCAAAAATGTGTGAGTGAAAAACTGGAGATAAATATGCACAGATCAAAATTAGTGTAACAAAATTTTAACGAAAGCAAAGTCAACTTTGACAATAAACAAGATTCACAGCAATAAGCGAATCGGAGAGCTCTAAGTATGATCGGCAAACATTACATCAGAATTGAAAGTCTTTAATGATGTTGAGAGTTATATTTTGTAACCCATTATGCTTTTGGTTATAATTGAGTAAATAGGTACTGCAATCTTACAGGTTATATGGTCTGTGGGGTTAGCACCTTCCGAAAGTAGGAGGAAATAAAACAAAAACACAGTTGATTGTAAAAAACCAAGTACTTTGAAAATACAAGGAATAAATCAATAAAAAAAGTTATAAAAACAATTTATTATTCAATTTAACAGATAATAAAAGAATACTATGACCAACATTCTGTTTGGTATCTACCTGTCTTTTCTAATGTTTCTATATATTTTGTAGCTTCTTCTAAACTTAAATGTCCACATTCTTGGCATACTTCAACAAACGTTTTCCTCACTTCTTTTGGCATGTTCTTTGCACTACCAGCCACATACACAAACGCATTATTCTCTAGAGCCTCCCAAACTAGTTGCTTGTTGTCTTTGATTTTGTCTTGAACATACCTTGAATTAAATAACAAAACAGTTACTAAAATATACAATTACGTAATTATTTAAATAAACTATTAATCTAAAAAAAATATTCTGACATTTTTAATACCATAATAATTAAATATGACCAAAATAGAGATCTTTAAAATATTGATCAAACTGTTCAATAAAAATGCCGTAGAACTAGGGACATTAAGTGGTAACATGGGATATCCCAGTAATACAATTTTATCTATTAAATTTTGTAAAATAACATTTAGACTCACACTTTGTGTTCCTCTTCTCTGGAAAAAGCTGTAATCAAATTCAGTTTATGGCTATCATAAATGTGTTCAAAGTCACTTTTACAAAGAAAATCTTTCTCTTTGTATCGACAACCGAAAAACAAGAACAAATTTTTCTTATTGCTGTTATTTTCAATATAACGTTCAAATATGTAATTTCTAAAAGGTGCTACCCCAGTTCCAGGGCCTACCATTATCACAGGTACATCCTAAAAGGTAAGAAGAATAATTAGTTGGTGTCAGAAAGTTTTTGATTAAATATCAACTACATTAAGGGATCATATACAAGAAATAAAAGAGAAAATAAATAAGAACAGACATAGACAACAGTTGACAGTGTAAAAGTACAAATGCATCCTTAACATTGCTTTTAATATTGCTCTAAACCCCTTCTGTGGCTCAGTGGTAAGAGCGCCTGCCTTTAAACCTAAAGGTCGTGAGTTCGAATCCCACCTGGGTGGAAATTTTCGTTTATTAAAAAAATTAATAAATGAAAATAATTTCTATCCTTGTGTGATCGGTACACACCGGAGGGACCGCAGACGTTCGGATACAATTAGCGTCTCTTAGCAAAGACAATGACGTCGACTTTGCTAAGTATCAAGACAATTACTCTACACACACACACACACACACACACACTACACCTCAAATTGTAAGATTGGCGAATGGATTTAGTGTCCGCAGTCATTTAAACACAAACAAACAACAATATTGTTCTGAAGCTATTTTCTTTTGGCATTTTAAATTAATTACTATTTAACTGGGAATAATCCACAATTAAAGGTTAAAATATGTTTATTGATGTTTCAATTTCCCCTTCGGAAATCATTCTCAAAATGCAAACCTTGTATCAAAAATTTTGAGAATGATTTTCGAAGTGGAAATTGAAATGTCAATAAACGTATTTTAACCTTTAATTGTGGCTTATTCCCAGTTAAATAGTAATTAACTTGCTTTTAAATTTCCCCAAAATTGACAAAAAAAACTTATCAACAAATATTATCACAGAAAAACATACTAAAAATAAAAAAATATAACAACTATATATTGAAAAAACAATCAGAACATAAAAAACAAGGACAAACATAAAATTATATTAATAAATATGAAAGGAGTTCTAATACCTTCATTATTTAATAAAACATGCTCCAAGTATATTAAAGCCTTCAAAACTTAGATAATACAAAGCATGATTCATTACATGAATCATTACATTACATGAATCATGCTTTGTATTATCTAAGGTTTGAAGGAAGATTCTATATATATTGAACTTAAGGATTTCATATATATATATACTTCATGTAATTTAGATAACGACTTACGTCATTATCTACGTCAGAGATCGAAGTTGACATAGTTGCCAAAGTATAAAAAAATCCTGACTCCATTTTAAATAAAATAGATTACATAATTATTGCAAATGTATTACCATCTCTTTACAACGACTATTTAAATTCTTACGTGACATTTTTGAAATAAAACACACTAATTTTGTTCTAAAAAGAACAGATTTTATTAAATAGTTAAAAATATATAACAAGAGATATTCACTTTAAAATTCAAAATAATGAAGTACAAAAAGTGTCAACACCGCAACTGTCAAATAAGTGTTACCAATTTATGCCAAAATTTTAGCTTTGTTACAGTTACAGTGTGTTCCGAACAAATATGTTCTTGATAAAAACGCTTTATAATGCATTTATACAAATTAAATGAAACATATTATTGTGTATTTCTTTAAGTTAACATTAATAGAAATTTTTAAATATTATTTCTACGCGTATATAATAAAATATGTCTAGTGGCTGTAATGCCAGTGTAGTCGGTAAAGTGATTCTAAAAAAGAACACACCTACACCCTAAATATTTTGTGTTGGTATCATGTAACGTCACAGGCTATGACGCTGATGACATGCATCGTTATATAAATTAGATGAAGTGTATTGAACTTACTGATGCTTGTGGAAACTTAAAGCTTCCTTTTTTAATCCATGCTGTAATTTTGTCACCTTCTTTTAATCCAGCTAAAAAATTCGAACCTAATCCAAACCTGTCTTTGGTTAACTTCGTCTTGTATTTTACCACAGCAAGAAGAATGTGTATCTCGTCAGGGTGGGCTTTATAGCTGCTAGCTATAGAAAAATCCCTAGGCTTTATAGGTGACATAATGTCCAATAAAACATCCAAGGTCAGATTTTTAGTAGCATGAGGAAAGTCCTGAAGCACTTCTACGATATTTCTCCTTGGTCTACAAGTATAGGTGTAAAAGTCTTGTTGGCCTTCAGCTGTAGTGAATTCCAGGCATTTTTCCTTTTCTAGTTCACTGTCAGTTAATTGAGCTAAGAGCTGGAAAGTGTGTCTCCTTGGTATGGCCATCAAATCAAAATATTCAGTACACAACTGCTGGAAAGTCAATTCATAATTTAGAACTTCAGGTAGAGATATCTCAGGATCCTTCTCTCTTATATTTATTATTGTTTCGGGAGGTATATCCACTCCATTGGAAGATAGTACTTGCTTGAAGTCTTCTATTTTCCAATCGAGATTTCTAGGCCTTAGGGACACTACATCTCCAGGATTGTATTTTTGGTTTAGGCACTTCAATTTAATTAATCTAACATCCTAAAAAAACAAGTTATTAACTGATTTATTATTCATTAATACTTTAAATAATTCTTTTACATAATCAAACAAAGAGTGACACAAGAAAAGAGTACTCTAAACCAATATGGATTAAAATAAATGAATATTGTTAAAATGAAAGCACAATTTATAACAATAACAAAAAAATTGTACCTGAAAATGGTCAGATGATGTCAATCTGGAATTTTCTATCACTGTAGCAACAAAATCTGATGGTTTTCTTACATAGGAATAAATAGAGTGTGGCTTGTGTGATTCCTCTTTAATTGTACTAAAATGACTAACAACATTCCATCTACAAAAAATATAAAGAATATACATAAAATAAAATGATTGAAACAAGCCATTGAAAAAAACATAAACAGAGCAAGCCATAGAATATGCCTTCCTTCTTTTTGATGGTTAGTCACACAAGGAATTCATAATAAATATGTAAAGTTAATGCTTTAAAAGGAAATGAATTTGAATTGGTATAAGTTTATATGACAGTGTCACAGTAAAATCATCTACTAACCTAGGTTCAATTCTATACTGCTTTGATAAAGGTTCTATCCCCACAGGTAGAGGATGAAACCTTAAAATGCTACTCCAAAGACTTTCTATCCAAGGATCAGCTGCAGCATCATACCCTAAATCGTGCTGGTCATCACCTAATCCTAAAGGTATAAGAGGATTGGCTCCCAATTGTAGTAACCTCTTATAAAGCCTCTTTGCTGTAAAATTGTACTTTGCATAACTTGAATCTCCTAAACCAAAAACAGCAAACCTAAAAACACATATTAGTTGGAATGTTTCATCTTTTAATAGTTTAACACCAAAAGTATAAAACAAAAACAACTTTGGTACCATTAGGTAACACCTAAAGTTGACAATACATACTTGAGTTTACATAGAATGTCTGAAGGTAGGTTTTTCCTTAATAAAAATTTCCAAAATGATTTCATATTATCTGGTTCATCACCTTGTCCAGTAGTTGCACATACAAAGATAACACAAGTTTCCTGGATAAGATGAAGTACATCATAGTCATCTAAAGCCTTGACGGAGCCTTTAAAATGAAATCTCTTGGACTCTCTCCATATCCTTTCTGCTAAATCCTGAGCGTTTCCAGTTTGGGAACCATATAATACTGCTATTCTCTGATTTTCAAAAGTCATCTGGTTAATATATTAATTAAGTCAAAGGTATTCACAGTTATTCCCATTAATTACTCACCCTTTTAAAAATTGGTTATATAATTAAAATAAATTTCTGCAATTTTCAACTCTTAACATCTAAATATCCCAGTTTTATCTTTAGCAAATTTGGCATTGGAGATATTGGACCTTAAACCTAACCTAAATTTTAAAATTACAGTACCACAGATCACCGTGTACAGTACAGTTCAACAGTTCATTAAACCACAGAACACACCATGACACCATATGGAGTATTCTGTGCAATTCTGTGATTAAACTAAACATAGATTGATAACAAGGATAGTCAAGGTCAATGCACGTTTTTGTTTGGCACCCTTCCGTTGGGTGGCACTGCTAGTCTCGTTCCCGTGCGTTGTTCATTGCCACTTTATGTCATTAAAGGATTAAAGTCAAAATTTGTTTGATGTTTTTCATAAATAGCGCAAAAAGGTACATTTTCAGACGATTTTTGTTGTTGTTTGTTTGTGTTTAAATGACTGCGGACACTAAATCCATTCGCCAAGACGATTTTTAATTATGGGATCGAACACATTGCATGGAATAACAATGGAAACATGAAGAACTGGCCAAAAAAGATGTGTTCCAGATTAGCACTAAGCGATGCGCCAATGGTTGTTTTACTCTTGACCACGGGACTGGCACTGCTAGGTAGGAGTGTGCTGTGAATAAGAACTTAGAATCCTAGAATTATATTGACACAGAACATCAAAATAGACACAAGTGATTATAAGTGATTTGTACTAGTTAGATCAAGCAACTATTGACAAAACTGTTCTTTTCCGTACTGACCGAAAACGGGAAACGCATATGGAAAGAAATCTTCAAAAAATTTAGAGAACTCGTGTATAGATGGCAGCAGAAGTAATATAAGTTAATTAGCAACCTATTATTAATAGTTTTCGTCCTACCATTTCAAAAAAATATACAATAACTATAAAAATATATTTACTTCGTGTTAGTTGTAAAGTAATAAATAAATCACCACTATATTGTTATATAAAACACCTATTTTTGTAAAGGTGCATGTTTGGTTGCCTAGTTAGTAGATTTTTTGATAGTAAATACCATAGTAAAAAGAATACATGTACCATGAGTAAATACCAGAGATATGTAAGAGTAAATACCCTCTCTTACATATCTCTGGTAAATACATTGTAAACGGTATTTCAAAATTTAAAGTGAGTGAACGATGAAGATAGGACACACTATCAACTATCAGTTTTTGTTCTAGGTGAAAAACGAGGAATACAGACTTTAGGACACCGTAAACTCAAATTTGGATGTCTGAACTTTCTTGAACAAGACAAATAATTTCAAATTTGTTCTTGTTAAGTGTTCCTATTGTATTATGTTTAATAGTACCGATTTTATGGAGGAAATGATTAAGTAGGTGAAATAAAAAAACGTAATAATGAGGAAACAAGAGTTTTATTTTCTCTTCACTATACTGTACAGGTTTAAATAAACTTCTGGTACAAAATAGAATACAATCTCTCTTATGAAATTAAAAAAAAATACATAAAAAATTAATAAATAATACAAGTTGTATCGTTTGTCTTTCTATCTCTCTCTATACCATCTACCTCTAGGTTTTCTTAACGTTCTAGGTGATTTCGGGGACCCCGGCATCCGCCTTTGCTTTTTAGTCGTCCTTTGAGGCGTAACGATTACGGTTTTCGATAGTTTTTTGCTATCCAACTTTTGAACACACACGTACGGTTGCGGCAATTCACTGTTCACTAATTTATTCGACAGTACTTTCACCCTGCTTTTAATAACATCACAACTTTGATCACTCGCACGCGACTTTGCATTGTTTGGTGCCTCCTTTCGCCTACTGTTTCTCTTCATCGTCTCCGGCTTTTGTTTCTCGACTGTCTCCTGTACGTTTGCTCCTTCCTCACAGTCTTCTGCCTCTGAATTGATCACACTGGCAGAACCGACAGTACTTGAATTTTCATCTTCGCTTTTCTCTTTATTCGGTTCTTTCTTTGACGATTTCTTCGTTTTACTCGGCCATCCTGTAGAAAAAAGTTTAATATTAGTCACTAATAATCAATTTTTAGTTGGTGAAGTTTCCTGTGGAGGTCTTCAATCTTAATGATCTCTCTAATAAAGAAATTACTATTTTAATGGGAATAAACGACTGAACTATCTTACAATAAAGTCGTCCAGGAACGCAAGTCAGCAATATTGGCAATATTTTAAAGTCGTCTACTTTAAAATGTATAATATTTGTCTGAATTATCAATATAAACGAGTTAGATAAAATTAAATTATTAGAAGAATTTTGCACCAAGTCACAAAAAACAAAATTTGTTTAATTTATTAATGTTTGTATTTTGAGAACTATTTTCAAAGTAGAAAAGTCAATTATTTAGTGGGAATTTAGATTTTAATGGGAATACGTGGCTTATTCCCATTAAAATAGTAATTACTTAAAAATGCCACAAGAAAATAGTTTTAGAACAATTCTAATGAAGAAATCTCTTTCTTTATCTGTGCGCTACCTTGGTGTCAGCAATATGGATTATGTCATTTTCTATGTAGAAGTCAAGCTCTGATCTATTCTGGAATTTCAATTCTAAAACGGAGACACCTTTAGACCTAAACAATATTCTTCATCTTATGTTAAAGCATAATAAATGTATTACCAATATTTGATTTCCTTATCTAAGTATCTACCTTTGTTATTTGATATTCCGAGCCATAAATGGGACCAATTTGTTCAGCAGCAAAGTAGTGTAGAGTTTCATGTAACTTCTGATGATTGGCAACATTTTGTAGTAATAGTCTGCTGAGTCAGCATTATTCTCAGGAGAGAAAGCAGACAAAAATTTAGGACACGCATACACAAAGCTGTTCTTGAATTCCACTAAGCCGCCACACTACATTTTGTATATCTTTTCGTGGTAGACCTTTCTCTCTCAAAACTTGTTGGATAATTCATCGACACAATGCTGACCATCCGAAGTTACTTGAAACTCTACACTTCTTTCCTGCTGAGCAAATTGGCCACCGTTATGGCTCAGAAACGAAGGAAGTGACTTGATAAGAAAATTTAATCTTTGGTCATACATTTATTACGCTTTAAGCATGAGACGAAGTTCTCTATATACATAGAGATTTCTTCATTAGATTAGGTTTGAAGATCTCAACAGGAAACTTCACTAACTGAAATTATAATTCTATTTTCTAAATTATAAGAATAACCTTTTGTAATACAGTCTACAAACATAAAAAATAAATATGTGATTAGAAATGAATCGCTACTGCAGAGAGGCATCCATGTCTAATATGTACGAATTTTGTGTATTTTATTAAAATTGTTTCCAGTAGCAAAACGCAACGTTTACTACAAAAAGGAAACACGTCCGCATATTAGTATTGGCATGGCAACGCTTTCAATATTATATTTACTGCAGAAAAGAAACTAGTCCATGACAAGTTCTCTTTCTGCGGTAAACAGTTGCGGCGCTAGAACTGCGTGGCAAATATTTGGAACTATCCTCACAGCTGAGTTTAATCAGACAATATTGTGCTTTGTTTATTGATGATTGTTGTCGTCTTGACTGTGGCTAATAATTAGATTAGAATGAGTGGTTCAGATGAGGAATGGCGTGCATATAAAAAGAACATAATAAAGAAGTCAAAGTGGCTAGACAAGAATACGTAAACTGGTTTGGCAAAACTGTACCAGCTAAAAAACCAGGCTCAAATTTTTGCAGGTAAATATTGTTTTATTCATTGTTAATTTGTACATTTTGGTTTAAATACCATTTTACTGATAATTTAATCTTGTACGTATTTCAAAGTAATATTAGGCTACTAAAACGTAACCTCAAAGTCATTTATCATTATCTCCAATATTTTGTTCACTGATTTACTGTTACAATAAGTCTTTTGTTGTTTCAGTTGCAAATCCAATTGCCTTGGGAGAGTTCACTGAAAAAGATACCATTGAAATATCCGCCAAACTACATAACATGACAACCAAAACGGAACAGGACATTTACATCCAATCTGTTATGGAAATTATTCAGATTGCATGGGAAAGACCCAGATCTAGTTCGTCAACCGCGAAACCCAAGGCTTTCAGTGTAATTTATTATGTAGTACACAATGGAAAACGTTCAAAAGTATGTAAAAATGGATTTATGAAAACCTATGGATACACTGCAAAGCATTGTTACCGTTTGTCCCATCTATTACAACTAAATGAAACACCAACTGACAACAGAGGAAAAAGGGTTTCAGGAAATGCAATACCTGGGTCCGTACTGTCTAAATTAAGGGTCCATGTAGAATCATTCCCCACCAACGTACATCACTATACAGGAAAAAAAAAAGAAAGTTTCAGCTAATATGAATTTAAAAATCATATGGTCATTAAAAAAAACATAGTTTCCTTATTTCAACATTAGGAACTGAGAAAAGACACTCCTACAAGTTTTTTTGGACATGTTTCAAGGAAAACTACCCTATTATTGGTTTTGCCCAACAAGTTAACATTCATGTGTTACATGTGAGGAACTAAATTGAAAAATAAAAAGTCCTGTTTTGAATGAGAATGCAAAGCGAACAACTGTCACTGAGCTAACAGTACATAAGTGTAAATCTAAAAAGTTCTATGCATCACTGAAAGAAGTGACCACGCAGTGTGTCAGTAAGCCTGAAGAAAATGTTGGCATCTGGTATTCCTGTCCAAGATACCTATTACCTTAGACAGCTCACTGTAAACGTCTTTGGTGTGCATAATCTCGCGACACGGGAATATACAATTTTTATCTATCATGAAGATGAAGGGAGTAAAGACTCAAACGAAGTTTCTACTATGTTAGATTGGAATGATCTACTATGTTACATAAAAAACAAAATTGACAGTGATGTAAAAAACCTTTATCTGTTTGGGGACAACTGTGCAGGGCAAAATAAAAATAGTACTGTGATTCGCATGATGATGCACTTGTGTGAGATAAAAAAGTTTAATGAAGTCAAACTAACCTTTCCTGTTAGGGGCCACTTTTGTATGCCAAATGACAGAGATTTTGGCATCATCAGAAGAAAATTAAAGCAAGAAGAACGATATTATCCTATTAATGAGGTTAAAGAGCTTATAATCAAATTGTAGTATTATTCCGTAGACATTTTTTTTCCGTAAGGGGGATAGTGTAGTATTATTCCTAAAATATTATAATTCATATAAAGAGTAAGTTAAAAGAGACGGGTGTAACATAGTTTCGCATTTTGTTTATATAAAATATGTTTAATAATTTGAATCGAGGACATTCATAAATATAGTCTAATTAGAATTTCTAAGTCAGCACTATTGTCAATCACGACATACGGTTGGCGTAGGTCGTGAACAAACTTGAGACACTAAGAAATAACCTGCTGATATATGCAAGGCCTGCTATAAAAGCGACAACAATCATTATCCCAGAGATCAGAACTAATTTAACGTCAAGATGACCAGTTAATATATCACGTATTGTCACAACGTCAACTAAGTACTATTACATTTAAGATATGTAACATTGCAAGAGTGTACAGTAGTGTTTTCAATAAATGTACCATACGATACCATAAGTGAAGCATTATTTATTACAAAATCATCAAAAATTTACGGCAAATTTTCTGTTATTAAAATGACTGCTAATGATTTCATTGACTTCAGTTCATGATGGCCCCAGTTTTATAAAAAAACCTGCTTAAGTGATGATTCGTATGGTAAAAATGTCCCAAGAAACCAAAAAAGGGCTTTTGTCATATCACAATACAGAGAAATGACTTTTCATCAAAGAATTCTAATACGGTTCAATGTAAGATGAACATCGGTTTCATAATGGATGAATTCAAACTACAATGCAGTACAGCCAATACAGGCTCCTACTAGAAGAACATATGCAACTGTACTTCCAATTAACAACAAGAAAATGGAAGATATGAAGAAAACATTGGTATACCTCCCGGAAAAAAAATGAATTTTAGGAATCCGATTTTGTCATGACCAATTACACCGGCATTTACAGAAGAAAACTAAAAACTTGAACTGAAATTTACTTCAAAGTTTTAATATAGATTTAATTGCTTTCTTTCATGTATAGGACATTGTTTTATTTCATTAAAATTGATTTTAATAAAATATTCTATTTGTATATTGACTGTTTTCCTTAGAACTTCTTAGTTTCTTGTTTACGGCAGAAACGGAACATGTTCTTAACACAAAAAATTCTCTACCCTCTCCTCTTAAAATATCTAAATATTTTGTATGTAGTAGTCCAGAATGCCCAATTACATAAACCTTAAATGCAATAAAATAATATCAGTAGTGTGTTTGAGGTTACAAAGTTTTTTGTCTCTCCTGAAAAATTGGCAAAACTGGACTTGTTGCCTTTCTGCAGTTAGCGATTCAAATGTCCTGTTGATAAATCTAAAAATTCAAATGCATACCGGTTTTGTTCAACTTTCGCTTTTTATACCCTGGTTTTCTTCCTGGCGTCCCATTGAAGAACCGTCTACAACTCTTCTCAGTCTCCTTGGAATTATTTTCCTCGTACATTCCCATAATATCGTCCAAGGTTGTTCGGCTGTTATTAAAATCCACACCATTTCCATCAGACATCTCAATTTCATAATCTTCTATATCTATATCTCCATCCAATGCTGTATCCAACTCATCGTCTATCTGCTTCACTACCGAATGGTAATCTATTTTGGGTTTCCCTTTTCTAGACTTAACGGGGGAGGTTTGGTTTTGAGGAGTTGGAGGACATTCGTTTTCTTGTACTGGAGGAGGAGACGGTGATCGAACTGGTGGTGGAGGAGGAGGAGGTTCCGGAGCAACTTCTTCTTGCACTGGAGCCGACAATATTTCTTGTTCTTCTTCAATAGTGGTCAAAGCTTGGTTAACATCTTCGACGGGCTGTCTATGCTTGGACCGGCGTTTTCTTTGTTGAATCAAGTCGCTAAGAATGGCTAAAGTAGAGGCATGCTGTCTAGGCGACTTCCGAGGATTTTTACCTACAAACAAATCTTTATAAGCCTCATTTACCCAACAAGTAGGACAAGTCTATTACCTGATGAGGAAGTCGGTTGCGGCAATATTACCCTACTGGACTTCCTCGCTCCTACCTTCGCTACTTTCGCTGATCTATCATCAGCGCTGCAGATAGAACTACTGGTCGAAGCACTCAGTTTACTGTCTTCGTCTGGATCGTAGAGTGACGAAGAAGATGACATACTTTCGGGGGAAGGGCTTCGAGTAGTCGATTCCGATTTCACCGACGCCACCGCCATCAAACCTTTTAGAAGTTCTTGATAATGGCTAATGCAAGATTTACGGTCCAATGGCTGGATGCTGCGCATTTGATAAGGAAGAGCGATTTCTTCCCAAAGGTCTGAAAGAATATAAATACCACTTATGAATTAATAAATAATACAAATTCTTCATTATATTTCAATTGTCGTTGTAATTCTTCATCATATACCTCCAAAGAGATGAATTTATATTAATAATATTTTTACGTTTTCATCATTCCTATTTCTTTACATTATGTACTATTTCGACAATATGGCAACGCTGTGCAAAAATGTCAGTGATAACTATACAGATAACTAACCAACTATGATGTATTGTTTACATAAATAATTACATAGAAGTGTAAAATTCAGCAAATGTACATCAGAGTACAGTTCTCAAAAACATAATGTATAAACACATGATGTAATACCATGTCCTCTGTTGCTATGCTTAAATGTATTTATTTATTTAATACACGGGATAACCCCATTAACAGTTTAAATTACAATATACAATATATTTAGGATTGAAAACTTCAAATTACTTATAATATAAAATCAATATTAAAAAGTTTTAAAAAATGAGACTAAAAATCTTACATACTAAAAAAAATAAATAAAATATAACAAGAATAAAATTCAACATTCCCAATATCTATCTATCTATCTATGCAGCCCTTGCTGTCCAATTTTGGACATAGGCCTCCTCTTCCTTCTTCCACGTCTCTCTATTGTAGGCAGTTTGTATCCACTTCGGACCTGCGTGTTTCTTCAAGTCATCTGACCATCTCATTTGTGGTCTTCCTCTTTTTCGTTTGTAACTATATGGTCTCCAGTGTATAATCATCTTATTCCATCTGTCGCCTTTCTGTCTTATGTTATGTCCAGCGAACTTCCACTTAAGTATTGCTATCTGCGTTGATACATCGGTCACGTTTGGTTTGTTGCGGATCCAAGTATTTCTTTTCTTGTCCGATAGCCTGATGTTCAGCATTTGCCTTTCCATGGCTTTTTGGGTCTTTGCTATTTTTTACATGTTTTCCTTAAACGTCCAAGTTTGAGAATCGTAGTTGAGAACAGGAAGTATGCATTGGTTGAAGAATCTTGTTTTTAAATATTGGGGGTATTTTCTATTTTTTAGTATATAGGAAAGTTTTCCGAAGGATACCCAAGGCAACCATATCCTTCTCTTTATTTCTCCGCTCTGATTTTCTTCCCATTGGCTGTTAATGTTGGTAAAAAGGTATGTGTAGCTGTCCACTCTGTCAATTGGATGTTGGTTAACCAAAAGCTGTGTATTTAATATTTCGCGCTTACTGACTACCATATACTTTGTTTTCTTCGTATTAAGATCAAGTCCGTGTTCTCTACTAATATGTGATATACGCGACATTATTCTTTGCAAACCGTCGGCATATCTAATGTTGTTTAGACGCATTCCGTCTATTTATTTTATTATTAGACGCATTACCATTTAGACTAATACGCCTTCTTGTAGTTCTCCCAGCGCTTGCTCGAAGATATATTCAGAGTATATATTAAATAACACCGGGAACAGAATGCATCCTTGCCTCACTCCTCGATCTATGAAGACTGCCTCTGTCAATTGGTCATCCACTTTAATATTCTCAAGTCCCTATCATCTATACCCACTTCTTTCAAGATGTTTATAGGTTTATCATGCTTTACTCTATCAAATGCCTTTTTGTAGTCGATAAAACAAGTATACACATCACAGTTAATATCCCTGTATCTTTGCATAAGCACTTGGACAGTGAATAGAGCCTCTCGGGTGCCTAAGGAATCGCGGAATCCAAACTGCGTCCATGATACTTGTTCTTTGCATTTTTTATATATTCTGCCGTGTATCACTTTCAAAAACGTTTTAACTAAGTGGCTCATTAGGCTAATTGTTCTGTAGTCTTCGCATGTCTTGGCATTTACTTTTTTTGGTATGGTCACGAAGGTCGACTTAAACTAGTTTTGAGGTATTTTTCCAGTTACGTATATGTGATGAATACAGTTGTTATCCATTTTATTCCCTGTTCATCCATAAGTTTTAGGAATTCTGCGCAAAATTCGTCAGGCCCTACCGCTTTACCATCTTTAGTTCTTTTAAGAGCTGAAGTGATGGTAATTGGGGATCCTGTTTGGCATTCAGTGTCTTCAATGGTATTCTGCCTTTCATCTGCAAAAGTTACTTCCACATAATTCTTCCAAGTGTCTAGTTTTTCTTCTACAGTTAACAGTGGTTTGCCTTGGTTATCTGCCAAACACCCAACTCTTCTAGGTTTGTATAAGCCTGCAGCTTCTTTAACTTTTTTGTGCATATTAAATGAATCGTGGTTATGTTGCAATTGCTGTATTTCCGTACACTGTTTTCTTAGATGTGTATCCTTAGCTATTCTAATAGCTTTTTTGATCTTTTTATCGATTCTTTTGAATAATGACATGTCTTGATCTTTGAACTTTCGCCTCTCTTCCATCATATCTAGAATCTCATTTGTCATCCACGATTTCTTCTTTATTTTTGGTGGTTTGAGAAATTTCTCTCGTATGTCTTTTGAAACTGTATGTAACTTTTCTAGCTCCTGGTCCATTACATCCGATTGAATAACGGTATTCAAATTGTTCTGTATATACTGCTTTACACTATGTTCTGTGTGTTGGTCTTTTAATAGCTTGATGTCAAATTTTGGATTGACACTACGTCTAACCTTCTTTAGCCTGAGCCTAATTTGCCAATCAGTGAGGTATGGTCTGATTTGATATCAGCTCCTGGGTATGTCTTGACTGATGTTATGCTGTTCCGGAATCTTTTATTAATCAGAATGTAATCTATTTGATTTCTCACTATGTGGTCTGGAGTATCTTGAGGTGATTTCCATGTATATAATCTTTTGTGTGGGAGTTTGAAGTAAGTGTTAGTAATCACAAACTCTTCTTCTGCTACAAATTCACCCAGTCGGTCGCCTCGCTCATTTCTTTCTCCTAGTCCAAATTGTCCTATGGATTCTCCCTACTTAATGGTAAGGATGCTTAAATGACCTAGCCACGGCAGAAAATGATATAAAATATATTTCAGAGTATCAAAAAGTATTGCTAGGCAAGTTATAGAATCTTTGCGACCTGTAATAGATGAAAAACAAAGACAAAAATTGCAATAGAATTAAACGTTTTTTCAGGAAGTCCAACATCACCTACAATTGTTTCCTTGTCGTTTTTTTTAATTGAGGTCATTATTTTATTATGATTATAAAAGAAATCACTAAAATATTCAGGGCATGATCACACAAAAAACTTGGTTTAACAAATAACATAACAGCCTAATTAGAGTATATACTTACAATTACTAAAGCAAGGGTATGTTTGTTCGGTGTTGTCTAGTCTCTGGAAAGCCTGATACCATCCCATATGAATCGGTACTTGTTCGAAGGCGAATTTGTACTTGGACAATTTTATTTTTGAACTCTGTACATGTTTCACCTTCTTCTCCTCCGGCGGCGTTTCGATCTTTACATCTTCCTCAACTTTGGCAGGCCGTTCTGGCGACTTCATCACCAGCGGTAGGTAGGATCCTTGGTACCTTAACCTGCAATGACTTTGACAAATTAGTCAACACAGAAATTATCCCATAGATAAAAATATAAAATTATGAAAGGGTTGGAACAAATTTTAATATTAGAGTTGTTAGGGAAACAAAAATATGGTCATTGCCAACAAATTGAAGCATATCAGTTAAATGGTCAGTAATGAAGAAATATTTATTTGTCTGATTAAGTTGTTATAGTACTGCGTGACTTATATTACATTATCTTTAAGATTTATTGATTATAATAGATATATTTGTAGATCAAAGACAATAATTCTAAAATAAGAATTTGTTGTGTTTTCTACTAATCAATTAAAAAAAGTAAATAATTGATTGATTGTATCAGATTTCTCACCCTTTGATTCAATTATTAATGCAGGACTATCTGCATCTGAAGAATCTTAAAAGGCAAGGGACATAGCTTTGTGATGGGCCTAATGAAGACACCTTCACTGGTTCGAATCCGTACAGCTGTGACCTTTCCGTCGAAGCCAGGAAATATTTCTAACATGCTGGCCAAAGGCCACTTAATTAAGAGGGGAGTCTCATCCCCCTTCAAGAGAACAAGATCATACATTTTCAAATTTTCTTTAACTTGAAACCACTTGGGCCTTCCCTGTAATCTGTTTAAATATTCCAAGTAAAATCTCTTCCAAAAAACCTGTTGAAACAGTACAGTGTTGAAAGAGGTTCAGTCTATTTTCAGGTATGTGAGTGATTCCTTGTTCAGGGTAAGAAGTGAGTGTAGTGCCTATAAGAAAATGTCCCGGAGTTAAACATTTTAAGTCGGCGGGATCGCTAGATTGGTCAAATTTTGGACAGCGCAGTGTTGCAGTGGAGGGGGGGGGGGGTAAGACGTACGAGCACTGTTGCAAGTTTGGATTAAGTCCGAACATTAGTATTGGGTCCCCTACTATTCCTTATCTTTGTATATTACATCACTAACTTAAAAATCAATGAAAACATTTTTTTCTTTTTGCTGATGATACCAGTATCACCTGGAGGAACTCTAATAGTGCAGCTCTTCATGCAATTATAACTTCTGATCTACTTAAAATAAAAGCCTGGTACGACTCTAATTTACTCTCTTTTAACGTGGATAAGACAGTAGCATTATCCTACAAAGGAGCTTTTCAACCATTGCTTCTTAATAACCGCCAGATCAGTGTCATTGATTCTGTAAAATTTCTTAGTATTTTTATACACAGCAACCTTAAATGATCCCTTCATATCGATAAGTTAAGTAAGAAACTAGCCTCAGCCTGCTATAAAATAAGATCTGTTTTGAAGGAAATCGATTCAGCATCTTCCAAAATAACATTTTTCTTTGTTCGAGTCTCATCTTAGATATGGTCTTCCTCTTTTGGGGTTCTAGTACAGCTGTACAATCTGATGTTATTTTTAAATTACAAAAACAAACAATACAGTATATTTTAAGCTTCAGTAGAATAACACAACAGAAGCTGTTACCTAACTAGTAAACATCATGATCATTTAGAATTGGTCGCAACTATTAGCGTTTGGCTTTTTTGGGATTGGTAAAGTGCCAATTGTATTGCAGGATAACATCCTGGATATAGCTCTGAAGAACAGATAGAGTCAGTCATGAGAAAAAAGTTTGAGCTTGCATGACTCTTACATACGTCTAATGCCTTTAAAATGGCGATTACTTCTCCCATAAAAATGCTGTAGAATTGAGGGATACGAATTGCATATTCAGTATTTCCTAGTATAAAGGCTGCTGCATCTCCATTTTCAGTTCTTGATGCATTAGTAAAAATCTTGTTCCTGTGTATTCTGATATCTGTTCTTGTTATAGCATGTTAATCATTATAGGATTTGTGGTACTCTTTGGATAGGCCGTGAGGATATGTCAATCTTCTTCTTTTGGCATCATAACCCTGGATGGGTCTTTGCCTGTCTGGCTATGTCCTTCCATTCAGGTCTCTCTTGTGCCCTTCTTCTCCATTGTCTTCCCTTCTTGCCATGTTCATTGTTTTCAGGTCGTCTTCCACGTCATCCAACCATCTCGTTCTGGGCTTTCCTATGGGCTTCCATTGTAACATTTTCTTCGTTGTTTTTGCGTTTCGTCGTTTTGTCTCTGCACATGTCCCAGCCATGACAGTCTTTGACTCTTCACAAATCTTACAATGTCATAACCTTCATTAAAGAGGATATGTCAATAGTAGAAGAATTATTAGTCCCTGGAGGTACAGTTTGTTGTGTAGGATAAGAATGTGTCAGCTGCTCCAGGTCAAAACCATATCTTGTTAAACATCCTTTAAGGGGTGGATATTTTCATTTTTGATAGTAATGTCTAAATAGATGTGTTTTGTAAAGAAGTGGGTAGTTTATGTTATTAGGATTGGAAGACTATAATGTGTCAGCTGCTCCAGGTCAAAACCATATCTTGTTAAACATCCTTTAAGGGGTGGATGTTTTCATTTTTGATAGTAATGTCTAAATGGATGTGTTTTGTAAAGAAGTGGGTAGTTTATGTTATTAGGATTGGAAGACAATATAATTTAAAGTAATTTTGTCTTCGTATTGGTAGGAGGGGAGGGACATGCAACAACTTAAACTTAGTTCTTAAGATTTTATTATGCAATTTGAAATTTATTTAAATTTTGCAATGGATTGTGTATTTTATTACCTTTTATTTTGTGATATTGACGATTTATTTAATTTTAGTAAATTTTTAATTCAATATAAGGTTGAATGTTCGAATAAATGAACTTTGATGGTACACAAGGCAAATATCGAACACAGTATTTAATTAAATCTTGCCCAAGTACTTTCGATCACAAGATCATCCTCAGGGCATTTCGTCAATTGTGGCCTATCCAGCAATAATGGAATGTCATACATGTAAACGGGGACATAACAAGTACACTAAAGACAAACAAACACTTTAAAATTTAAATTGGAGAAGCTACATTTTTATATTATAGAAGCCGGAGACAGAATAATATATTCTCTCTCCGGCTTCTATAATATAAAAATGTAGCTTCTCCAATTTAAATTTTAAAGTGTTTGTTTGTCTTTAGTGTACTTGTTATGTCCCCGTTTACATGTATGACATTCCATTATTGCTGGATAGGCCACAATTGACGAAATGCCCCTGAGGATGATCTTGTGATCGAAAGTACTTGGGCAAGATTTAATTAAATACTGTGTTCGATATTTGCCTTGTGTACCATCAAAATTTTTAATTGTTATTGTTCTTTTTTTTACTAAGCTTTTTCCATAAAATTGTACAATTTTCAGTGACAATAAAGCATATTTCTATTCTAATCTATAAATCATTTATTAAACTAACCTGGATCCCGGAGTCTCAAATTTATAATACTTTTGATTGTCCATGATGAAAGCCTCAGCGTGTGTCCTCCTCCTCTTCTTCTTTCCCGTACTATCCATAGAGGTTTCATCTTCATTCTTAACGTTTGGCGTGGACGTTTTACAGTCTTCTATCTCAGTATTACTACAGCTATCGGCCGAGCTAGCTGTAGTATTGGCCTCGTCGTCTTCTTCCTCACTACTGTCGTCCTTCTTTGGAAACAAAAAGTTGGTGGCTTCATTATTTAGTTGGATCAATTCGGAATTTCGCAACTTCTTAAATTTCACTATTAAACCTGTTCAAGTTATAAACAATGAGTCAAACATTTCATCGATGTTGTTCTATAGGTACTATACCTTTCTCCTTTTCATCGTCCCTCTTTGGAGATTGAGACTGTTGCCTCTTTGTAGACTCCTGGCTCTTGGTTGCTGAGTTTTGGCGTAGCTTAGGAGTGACCACTTCAACTTTGTAATAAGTTTTGCAGCTTGAATTCAACCTTTCATCAGCGGATAGTCTTTTCTTGCTGATACAGGCTCTTTTTGGTCGACCAGAGTTCCATACCTCCTCCTCTTTGTTATTTTCTGCTACAGGACAAACCACTTTCTGAAAACAAGATAAGAATCAATCAAATTTTCCATTAAAAGACATATTTATATACTTTCAAAAGTGGTAGGTTTTTAAATAAGGTATGACTGATGCAGAAAAGTTTCTAAAGAACATTTTCTGATTTATTTTGCACATTTCTTCCATACAGTTTTTCAGGAATATTTCTCCCATAGTTTTTCAATTATACATTTTGCTATTGTAGTGCTATAGTGCATTCTACTATTTTTAAACTTTGAATGTGACTTAAGGAGGATGAACCCTAAGACTTTTATATTGATAAAATAATGCAGCAAGTACTTGATATGACAGAGGAGGCCCAAAGCCTACTTGTAAGATAGGCCACTTACTGTTATTTCAATTAAAAATGAACTTAACAAATTTTAGCTTAAGTATTTGTACTTACCGTTAAAGACCTTGTAGTAGACCTCAACCCTTTAGTTTCCTTTTCCTTACTCTCCACCAATTCCTGAGGTTCTTCTACAAGGGTTAAATCTGGTTTCTCCTGTAAACTATCCTCGTCTAATGGAGGAGTCATGTAATTGATGTTCCGTCTAGATCTTAAATGATGGCCTGTTATATCACTGCCAGTTGGAGAGAGAGGAGAAGGATTGACTCTGTCAAACATGACCGATGCTGCCCGCGTTCGTCGCATATTACGCTTCTTGTGCATCGGTGAGAAATCATCGAGGGAAGTTTCATGTACACCTGACAACATTTTCGATATATAACAATCTGGTAAAATGATAAACAGAAACAGCAGATAAACGGCCAAACTTCAGTTTTTTTTTTAATGGAACGCCCTGTATATTATTTAATTTTAGAAATATTCACGTTATTCTGAACAATTTTTGTTGATACTTCCCTATACCTATTTTGAACTGTTTTTGAGTTATAATGGTTTTTATATGAAAATTACACTTTTCTACCATTTATATAAAGTTTAATATCCTCTAATGTAATTTGAACAAAAGTTTAAATTCCTTAAGAATGTATTAACTAGATCCAGCATTATCATTTACAGTATAAAGTTGTATTTTTCATTATACAGGGTGCTGTCTAAATTTGCATAAAATCAGCATCTTAATTTTCGCCTAATTTCTTTTTTTTTTTTTCAAAAAGGTCACCCTGTATGTGATTCCTTATTTTAGAAAAATATGTTTTTCACTACCGATTTGTATTAGTATCCCTATACCTATTCCTTGCTGTTTTCAAATATAACTTTATACATTTTTGCCACAAAAAATTTATTTGTCAAGTAGCCTATGACAAAAATAGCAGTTATTGTTAATGTTTAATAGTTACCTTGTTGTATGGGATTGGGTGACAGTTATCATAATAATTTGCCGTGTTGTTGCTGAAAGATATCCTGAGAAGTCTCAACCAAAGCATAAAACTGAAAATCATTTATTGAATAACTGTTTCCACTTTGGTCAGTTTATAAGTAAAAGGACCCACGTCGTCAATAAAGACTTACAAATAGATATTCTGGGATATTTTGCAGCTAATCCAAATTCATCCTTACAGTAATGTGAGCAACTGTTACAGGTATCGTCTCAAACAATTCACTGAATTTTAAAATTCATTGGACCCTTTATTCGTACACAAAAGCACAATACTTACATTCTGAAGAATATGTAAGACTTGTAGAATTTTGTGAATATGTTTTAATGAAATGCCAAGATCAAAATTTTACAAAAAAAAATTATTTGGTGTGATAAATCGAAGTTTACAAAAAATAGTATGTTAACCGCCATAACAGTCACTTTACGAAAATCTTCAGCTCACGTGGGATAGTAAATTTCAAGCACAGCAAAACCCCTTCATTAAAATTTTCATAATGGGCCGTTTATCTGCTGCACCTTGTATATATAATAATGATTGGTTTTGTCTTTTAGGGCTTAAAATTCGTGGAATTATATTTATTATCGAATTTACTCGATTACAAATTGTTAGTATAAGGATATTCTCTATAAAACTAGTTGTTAGAAAAAAATTACCTATAGCATCAATACCATTTAAATTCAAAAATGGAATACTGTTGTTCTGTAAAAATCCGTTGAGAGATCCGTTTAATGCTATGTAATTGGCATCTTCCCCTATTAACTTTTGGTGTTTCTTTGATTGGATATGATCTTCCACATTATTATATGGGACATTGCAAACGGCACAATATCCTGATTGGAGCGCTGATATTCTTGGCCTTCTAGTCCTATAAGACAATCATTGCTTTAAAATTTAGATCAATTGGAAAGCGCATTTGATATAAAAGATGTCAAAAAATAATAAATCAAAGTGAAAAGTCAAAATAAAGTTTGCTTACCGTGTTTTGCGTGTCATGATATGCTCTTCTAGCAATAGATCATCACTCCTCTGTCTCAATCTTACACTACCTTTTGTATTTCGCCTTTCTGAAATATTCGATTGTAGATATTTAAAATCATCTGTAAATACTTCTTCAAAATAAGATCGGGTTGTTCTCTCCAACATTGCATCACAAAACCAACCCTAAAAATATATACATTTTTACTATATTTGTTTTCCTTTAAAGACCGTGAATAGCACAAAACATGCTATTCATTGGTTTAATTGCAAACTTCGAAATTTAAGAAAACAACTCTAGCATTGTAAAGCAACTTATAGGAAAACACATACTACTGACAATTGGATTAAATATTGTCAAATGCGAAAGAAATAGAAGCAAGCAATAAAAGCTTAAAAACGTACATCTTATGCTAACATAATAAACAAATCCACTAACGAAACTAGGACAATATGGAGTATTGTTAAAAAACAAACCTATAAGGAAAGTACTACATTCAATTTGAACTTAACACCAGAACAGATTAACCAATACTTCATGAATATAACAGATATTATATCGAAATCACTATCTTAGAAGGCTACCTAGAAGGTTGAGTTCATTCTTTATGACCCCAATAGTAGCAATAGATGTGAAAGAATGCATACACAACTTAAAAAATTCCTCATGTGTTGACTACTATGGTTTTAACAGTAAAATTATTATGACATCTCTAGATATAATTATTGAACCACTCACAATAATGTTTAACAAATGTATTAACGAGGGTTATTTTCCTGATGTATTCAAAATATGAAAAGTAACTCCACTTCATAAAAAAGGAAATAAAAGTGCTACAGACAATTACAGACTTATTACGATAGTACCAATAATAAGTAAATTATATCTAGCTCTCAATTTTCAAGAAATCCTCCAAAAACCATGTGGAACATTATAAATGGAAAACTAGGAATAATATCTACATTAGAATAATAACATCACTCCAGATGAGTTTAATCATCATTTTTCCCAAATTGCCCACAACTTAATAAAAGATATATTTGAACTAAATATGAATTTTTTGAAGAACATCGATGTAAATTACTCAAAGAGCTTTTCCTTTTCTGAGGTATCATTCAATAAGACCGGAGAAATCATAGACATCTTAAAATACAAAAAAAGTTGTGATATACATGGTTTAAATGTTATTATTACGATAATAAAAAATATTATCATACTCTTACACACTTAATAAAGCAATACTTTACAGAGAATACATTTCCCTCAGTTCTAAAACGGGGTATTATAACATAATCATATTAAAAATATATTAATCATATTTAAAAAAAAAAAAAAAAGAAAATTAAACAATATATCAGAGTGTTTTCTCTTCAATTGGATCTTTAAATCCTAGATTTAAAGGACATATTTTTGTGTTGTTTAAATTTGTTCAAACAAACTAGATGTAGACAGTTGATTGTTAAGTCCCCACAACATTCTATAAGTATTCAGCATTCTTTGGTTTCCCCCTGAATTTTACATTTTTATGAATAAAAGAAAAAGAATCAGGTGATCACTCAGTCCAACCTATTTATCTATCATAATACACACTAAGGCCAGCGACATTAAAATTGGCAACGCTGTTAATGCACCCCAGTTTTTGATAATAGGAAAGGAGAAAGAAGTGACAGTTGCATAAACCAGTGTTGCTAGCGGTTTACAAATTCTTGGAATATCGAGTATTTTTATATTATGACCTGATGTATAGAGTTTTTTCTTTGTGTTACAAATATTGCAATATTTACAGTAATCTCTATTAAATGTTAAAATCATTTAATAACTTATTAATAAACATTTTTTTCAATAAAGACGCATTCTATTATATTTACTTTGACAATTAGCCTCTACAATTACCACCTGGACTGAACGTTTGGCAACGCTGTTAGTTTAAAACCGTCTGGTTATGGTATAGAGATGGGCTTTGCTGTCCAAATGGCGACAGGTTATTAATGATTAGACAAAGCAATTCAGACGATTCAATATCATAGTTACGCGTGCCATTTAGTCAATTATATTTTCAGTGTTACGTCAAATACCTGTATAAAAAGTTTTTTCATTTTCATAAAGTTGGCACGTGCTTTTTTAATTTTAACTTTTATTTCAGCAATGTAGTCGCAATTAAGGGGTGGGTAAAGCAATGATATAAAACAGCCAAACACAGAGCAAAAGATGTTAATTAAATACGTTGTATCCGACATAAAAATAATAATTCAAGAAAAGAATGTCAAAAAGAGATGGAAAAAGTATGAAGCGAACATCTTAATTGGAGTTTTGGCGATTGGAGTGCTGTGCTTTTCATGAATCAAGATTTAACAGATACTCATCGGATGGACGGCAGAGCGGTGAACGTTATCAGCAATGTTGTTTTACTCCGAGAGTTCAATTTGGTGGAGGTGGTATAATTGTGTGGGCAGGCATTTCCCTAGAGGCTCATACAGAACTTGTTACAATTCAAGGGAGAAATTTAAACGCTCAACGGCATATTCAGCAATGTTTGGAAGATCGTGTAGTACCATTTGCTCCATTTGTAGGAGAAAATTTTCGTCTGATGCAAGAAAATGCTCGTAAGGACATCGCAAGAATAACACAGGATTACTTGGATGAAGTTGGAATTCTTTTATTGCCATGGTCCTCAAGGAGTGCAGACTTAAATCCAATAGAGTATGCATGCAATATTCTGAAACGACGTATTCAACTTAACCATGGTGAGTTTGAAACCATGAATGATTTGGAGCAAGTAGTTCGTGACGAATGAGCGCCGTAATTAGAGCTCTTGGAGGTAATACACATTAAATACCGTTTTCTATAAAAAATGTTTATTTCTCTGCAAATTCTCAAATTTTTTGAATTGTTTACTGTTTTTTCAATAAATACTAAATTGGGAACATCTTAAACTTTTTTAAACACCAGTTTTTAGGCAAAATCTGAGTGTCCGGTTAATTTTGCAACCCAGTGTAGATCGTGGTCAATTATTTCTTCAGATAGCAGACAAAATTATATACAGGATGACGGTAAAAAAGGAGATGTCATACTGGACAGAGTATAGAAACTCGTGTATATCTCGGCAATAATTTCCATGAGAGCTAGAATCCAACTAAAGAAATGAAAAACATGAATAGAACAAGCCCGAGCTACATATTGTGTAAAAATGAGGAATGTACTTTGCAGCCATGATGTTAGCATTGACCTTCCCGTTCGAATGACATATTGCTATATATCTTTCCAGTGCTACTGTACGGAGTACAAGCATGGACTCTGTATCCATCTGCTAACTACTAGAAGTGAGGCTACGCCTAAACACTTGGAAACCTTTGAGGTATGGGCATAGACGACTAAGAATAAGCTGGGTATACAGCTACAATAACGTTTAACACGTTCAGCTTAGCCATTTTTTTCTTGTCCATTGGCCAGCATTTTATTTTTTGTAAATAAGACGGGAGTCGTGGAAGCCTTTCCGCATTTCTGATTCATTAAAAAAAATATATTTGACAATCGAGATATTGCACAACATTTTTGAGGCATCACATTGATGCCTCGCTGTCCGAGAACTATAAATTTGTTTGTCTGGACAGCGTGGCATTTACGTGATGCCTCAAACTTGTTCATTCTTGTATGAAGCGACGGAAGTATTTGACGTTATATTCTGAGTCATTCTTTGTTCGGTGCTCTTTGCGTACGGTTATTGTATGAGTGTACTATAAATTTTAGATTACACGAATTTTTTCGATGGATTCCTACGAAAAAGAACAGAAAAGACTTGTAAGTTTATAAGAAAAGCTTATGTTAGATGATGACGTAAGGAGTGGACGACCCTTATGCAAATTCTGGATCATCAGATGATTATATACCCTGTGACACAGAAACCTCGGACTCTTCCGAAGAAATTCCTAGGAAACTGAGAAAATTACATCGAATCAGTGGAGTACCGGACGAACGCAATCTTGCAGCGGTATATCAAAAATAACGTTACTGGCCGTTGAAAATGAGGTAAGTTTTACTAAACTTTTATGTTCATTCTGGAAAGTCATACCTAATTTCTGTTTAGGATGACCTGATACAACAGAGAATAGCAACTGTAATTTCTGCATTTGCTGTTGTCACAGAAGAAGATGAAAGAGTTCAGATTTATTGTGGAGCGAAGTTGACACTTCCAAGTTGAAAAATTTTCCGGAGACTATTCAGAATGCTGGGGTAAGACTAGAATATTACAACAATTTTACAGAAACTCCTTATTTCTTTTACAAACTATTTGTGACTGATGACTTGATCGGTTATATAGTTGATCAAACGAATTTATACGCAGATCAACAGATAAATGGCCGACCTGTTGTAGCCAAATCTAAATGTAAACGTTGGATACCAACTACAAGAAAATAAATGGTAATATTCTTTGGGGTAACTATATGGATGGGATTGCTAAAAACACCACGATTACGAGATTATTGGAGCAGAAATTACTTATTTGTTACCAATATAAGACACAAAATGTCTAGAAATCGTTTTGAGCAATTACTTTCAAATATTCACTTCAACAATAATGAAACAGCGCCAGAACCAAACTCACCGGATTTTGATCGGCTTCACAAAATATCTCCGATGGTTCAAAAACTTGTTTCTAGATTTCAGCAAATTGTTACTCTAGGAGAAAATGTCTGTATTGACGAGACGATAGTACCTTATCGTGGTCGCTTGAAATTCAAGCAATATATCAAAAATAAAAAACACAAATTTGGTATCAAATTATATACGATTTGCTTAGAAAAAAGCTACACTTAAGACCTCAAAATTTACTGTGGAAAAGATAGTCAGGGTGGTCAAAATACCTCTTGATTGATCTCTCAGATCAGAAAAAAGCGTATTCACATTGCTTGAGACGAGGGAATAAATTTTACAGGAAATTAGCCACAGAATTATTGTTTTGTAGTACCTTGGTGAATGCTCATATTGTATATAAATAGGTTACACAAACTAAATTGACTATAACAGAGTTCAAAACAGAAGTCGCTATATAACTACTGGGTGAAATGTCCGCTATTGAAACTAATATCAACAATAACACCGATGTCAGTCATGAGCTTGTAGAAGGAAGAAAAAACAGATGTGTGGTTTGTTACAACAAGTGTTCTCGTTCTAAATTTTTGAGCAACCAATGCAAAAAACATTATTGTATTTCTTGTTTGATTGCTGAACACATAATGCTGTTTTAAAATAATAAGGTGTTATATTACTATAAATATTTTTGCACATTCTGAATAAAATTTTTGATTTTTTTTCATAAAGTTTTAGAATTTCCATATCTTTCGTAAAAACCGTCTCATATCCGATCAGGAAATATTATTTTGCTCCTTGGACCACCCTGTCCAACTTACAATGTAATTTATATAGCTGTGGGGACACAGTTGATGCCACGGTGCCCCGAATACAAAACTGTAGTGTGGCATTAGAGTGATGCCGCACTGTCCCAAATGTACTATTTAGTGAGGCATCATATCGATGCCACACGGGGCTGAACGTGTTAACGCAGTCGCATTTACTGCAGTTGAAAGTTTTAACTTTAATTTACATGAAACCATTTTAACCTCAGACACTTTAATAATAAATATCTGAAGTCAATATAATAATAAATAAATGGTACAAGGTGTATCAGTGTTACATTCTATTGGTAAATTTCCACTTTCACTAGAAAATCGTTGCTTCTACGAAGTAACAGTTACTTTCAGAAAATATCTCGCACCTCTAATATTTCCGTTTTGTTGTGTTTGATGAAATACTGTGACAGGCGGGAGGAAAAGAGGGCTGAATCGGCCGTTTACCTACCTACAACTGCTGCTGTGCACTTTGTTGGATCGAAATATTTGAGTTTATCGTCGTAAAATAAACATTTTATGGTATTTTGACATATTCCTACTAGAACTGAATTTAAAGAGCATATAAAATCTTATTACGCAATATAATCTAGAACACCTTCGTGAAAGTGCTTGGCAGTACTTTTAAAATAAGTACTGTGGCAATGTTATTAAGAATGATCTTGTTTCGTAATAGACACCAATGAAATGTAAAATTATGTGATAACAACCGTTAACGTTAACCTTAAATGACAGATTATTTCGTCGTACAATTAATTTTAGCTGTGAACGAAAAAAGAGTTTTTTATGATTTCTTAGCGAATGATTACTAATCTTTAAAAATATTTTGAGTCACGGCGCATTTAGATAACAATTTTATTTCTAGAAAGTAAATATAGCTCTTAAAGCAACGTAAAAAGGAAATAAAATGCTTAGACTCTCCCGTCTGTAAACTAAAATCAAACGCAAACAAAAACTTCTCGTAAACAAATATCTGAATATACGGTATGATGGGTGATATCACTGTATTATCGAAATAACCAGGCAAGTATACTTTGTGGCAAAATTACGTGAGAAATAGAAATAGAAAATGCAAACCTATTTACATAACAAAAGTAGGTAACTGCCAAGTGTATACATATTTTTTAGTTTACACAGGCCATAGAAACAGCTATATCGAACTATATCATACCGATATAAAATACTGTAAAAGAAAAAGGCCAAAATTTACGTAAGATTGTCGCCCGAGGCTTGAAAAAACTACTAACCTGATTTCAGTCCATTAAATCTCTAGCAAAGCTAATGCATCAAATTAGTTCTTCGTACACAAAAAATACACAATAAACACTATATTAAGTTTGTAGTTTATCTACTGACGAACCCATAGACAAACATGACACGTACTTATTGAACGCCGAGCAAGAGAATCATCGCCCATATCCAACTACCGTCTACACTTCGTACGGCCATCACTGCTATCGTTGCTGTGCGCTGGATTCTCGACGCCCTTGCAGGCGTTTACGTGCTTTTTTCGGTTCTTTTTTGTGGACTGAATACTTCTTTAGCAGTTTGAGCAGTCAAAAATGACTCTGTTACATTTTTTATGTTTTTACTTCAAGAAAAACACTATTTACTACAAATTCAAAACAATCGTGTGTCCGCCACTTATAAGATAAAGCAATTAACCAATAAGAAAGCAGAGCTACAGCGCTCCGCTCGGTGCTCTTCATAAACTGAAATATTTACGAGGGAAGTTTGAATTAACTTGGATAATTAAAATTACAAAACTGTAATATCCTTCGTATTCATATGGTTTCTTGACATATTTTTTTCGATATACGTTATATTCCTTATATTTTGCAGTTTCTGTTTTGTCTATGTAATCGATTATACGTGGGTTGTTAGAGAAAATAAGTTTTTTCAATGGGATAAAAGATTCCTGGAATGATAATTAAAAAATGAAAATATGTAACTCATTAAAACCGTTGATTGAATTATTTCAATCAATATTGAAACCAACAATTTTAAATCTATATGCAAACACTTAGGATTAAAAATAGAATCAAATCACAATAGTGTTATAAATTCATTACTCCTCACTTTTTTAGTTATTATTAATAGTAATAATTTACAAGGCTAGTTGTAACATGGCTTTAAATCTTTTATACGCCAGCGTATAAAAGATTTCAACATTGGTTCTGTCCTCATTTCGGATCTGATAAACAAGACGAGAGAATTTTGTAGATATTTTACATTTGACGTACCTACCTACTTATAAGCAAGCTAAGACATGAAACGTTTTGAAGCACTATTAAGAACAATATTTTCCGCCATACGGTATCACCAACAGAAAATTGAACATCTCGTTGGCGAAGATTTTAATATTTGCCATTTCTTTCGTACACTTTGGTTAGGTGGATTTGGACTTCTTTAAAGATAGTAGCCAAATTTATAGTTCAGGCGTATTACTCTAATATAGGAAATAAGATGTCAAATAGAAAAGGCGAGAGCTGTCTTCAATCGCATCAGGAAGATTTTATGTAATATGCAATTGAACATTGATATAAGAACACAAGTCTTGAAATGCTATGTATTTTCTACCCTTGTATATGGAGTCGAAGCCTGGACCTTGACGAAGGCAATATCCAAACGATTAGAAGCCTTCGAAATGTGGTGCTACCGCCGCATGCTCAGAATTTCCTATATCCATCATGTTACAAACAACACCGTGATCCAACGTATGAATAAAGATCTGGAAATTAAGCGTATCGTGAAAATGAACTAATTCAACTAATTTTACAAGGCAAGATTGAAGACAAAATATCTCAAGGGCGCAGAAGGACATTGTGGTTAAAGACATTGTCTCTTGCTCTTCCCTGAATAATTCTTCCATGTATTGCCTCCATCTCTCAAGTATTCTCTCGTTTTCGTAGAGCAGATTGTTGTGCTCGTCTAGCATTAAGTTATGACTTCGTGATCCGTTTCCTCCCGTTAAATTTTTGATCTTTTTATGTAGGTTAGAAGTGTCATGCTTCTGTTCTAGGGATTCTATTTCTATGCATTGATCTTGTAGCCATGATTCTTTTGCTTCGTTAATCTTTTTCTTAATGATTTTGTTTATTTTTTTGTATCTTTTCTCATTTTTATTTCTGTGTTTTCTTCGCTCTCCCTTTAGCTCTAATATTTCTTGTCTCATCCACGGCTGTTTCTTTACATTGTTTTCTGGATTTGGTTTATTATCTACCACTGATTTTATTTCACATATCATGCACACTTATGTTTTTCTTGACATTTCTCTATATCTGAGATTTGAGAGAGATCTATATCTTGAGATTTTTCTATATCTGAGATTATCATGCTGTTTATTTTGTTGTTGATCTCCTCTTTGACTTCGTCTCTTGTGGTTTTATCTTTCAACCTCGGGATGTCCGGATATTTTTTGTGCTTTTCTCTTATGGACTTTTTCATGTGGAGTTTGAAACGTCCTAGTAAAATATTATGGTCTGATGAACTGAACTGAACAAGGCGGTCTCCTCTATCATTTCGCATTCCTATTTCAAAGTGTCCCACAGTATTGCCAACATCTTCTTTGGCGTTGAAATATCCTAGCAGGATATTCACTTCTTGATGTTTGGTATGTTTTAGGGATTCTTTCAATTGTTCATAGAATATTTCTATTTCCTGCTTTGAGCTTATCAAAGTTGGAGCATATGCTTGAATAATGTTCACGTTAACTGGTTTAGCATTAATTTTGAGTACTGTAACTCTATCTGATATTCCTATAAAACTAAGTACACATTTATTAACTTCTTTATTTACTTTTATAGCCACTGTTTTTGTTTCTTGTTGTATCTCCACAGTAGAATATTGTGTAGTTTTATATTTCGCGCTATCCTAAATTGGGCCATTTAACTTGACTGCATTTAAGTATGTCAATGTTGAATCTTCGCAATTCTTTAATTATGTTCACTTTTCCGGCTTGGAATAAACTTCGTACTTTTAATGTATCAATCTTCTTATCATGCTTAAATCTAAATATTTGTGGCAACAGGGATGATCTCCCCACTTAAGGGATGCCCGGGACTAAGGGCTGTTTGATCCATTGTGATTATACTAGGAAAAGTTAATTAAGGTGGTTTTCCGTTGCCTTCCTCCATTTTACGATAAAAAATAATAGAAATAAAGTTGTAGACAATTTAATTTGCTACAACTAATGTTAAATACAATTTTCTGTAGGGCTGCTACTTTAGGAGATACAGCGAGAAAACCCTTTGAACCCCTTATTCCAAGATGGCTTGTATTCAAGAACCCGGCCAACTTCGGAGCGCTGTGAAATCCAGAGAAACTCATGACATTTAACAAATTTGTTAAATATATAATATTGCAACTATAAAATGTTAAGAAGTTAAGAATAATGTGAGATTACAAATTAGGGGATTATTTTTTGTGATTGAACACTCACTGATCTTCGCTTAATTAGTTATCGGTCTTCATACATGGCTTTTAGTTTACTTGTTGACCCGTTGACACACTTGAAGGGCACAGGGGAAAAACCCCGTCAGTCAAAAAAAGTAATTTCTATCCATCATCAATTAGGAGGTCGTCAGCATAGAGAAATAACAATAACTTATTGTTATTTCTCTATGGTCGTCAGCGTATTCGTCATCATTCTCTTCCTGTTAAACAGCGTCAGCAGTTAAATTTTGATAAAAAAGCCGGGGTGTTCCAAATACTGGGATAAATGAAGAAGATCGCGATATTTTGCAGCTGATATTGGAAGTTTTCCATTGTACAAATTTTGTAACGGGGTAATTACTGCAGTGGCTGCGCCTTGATTTTTTTTTATTTATTTTTTACAAGATTTTTTTTCAAGGACTGAGGATGCATAACGTCCAAAAAAAGTAGGTTTATAGAATGTAAGTCGTCTTTCAGATGTCGAAATTTTTAACATACGAATAGATCTCGTAGGAAATGGACATTTTCGGGGATAAAGTGATGATATGTAAGTAGTCCAAGTTTGAAAAACTACATCTATTTCGCAATCAATCATTATAAATGGAGAGGGTTTTACCCAAGTATTCCTTAGAACCTCCCTCCAGTCTTCTGATCGCATTCCATGTAAGAGTGCCCTCTTATCGGAAATATCATATTTAACTGTTTTAAATCGTTTATCTTTTGTTGCTGTAAAAACCGGATAAATGTATAATTTTTATTTTGACCCGCACATGAGTCGCAAAATATACAGAGTTCTTGCACTTTTTGCAGAGGGGCCTTCTTGCAGAGGGGCAAAATTTTAAAAACAAAATGCCGAAACATTTTTTTGCCACACACTCAACATACGTATAAAAATTGCTTGCTGCGTTCAAAGTACATGAATATTGAAACTAACAAAATTCAGTAGGCGCCGACAGTAGACATCCATTAGTCGTAATGTTAGGACACTGCAGGTTTTTTTGAAAGTCCATGGTCACAGATTCCATGGAACGTTTTCGATAATTTTTTTTAATGTGTAAAAACGCTCACCTCTCTTTCTGTCTGTTTTGTTTGCAGATTCTGACTTGTTTTTCCTTTCTCAGTGGCAGTTTTAAGCTTCTCTTCAAGCACTAAAATTTGTGATTTAAAGGAATCACATGTACTACAAGAGTTCTTACGTGGTTGAAGGTTAACGAAAAGTTGAAGTTGTTCTCAAAAATCCCACGAACTGATTCATATGAAATTTTATGTTCTGGATAGTTAGTTAGGTACATGATATGTAAAAGAATAAACCTTTTAAAGATTAGTGTGATTTTCTCCCTTTAAGAGATTTTAAATAAGTAAATACGTTTTGTTTGGTTTCTTGTGAAAGTTTGCGGGGTCTTGTTGAATGTTTTCCACGACAGTCAGTGGGGAATTTACCAGCACTAAGCAGAGCACCC